AAAAAAGAGTTTAAATCCTTACTTCACGCCGTGCACAAAAAAAATAATTCAAAATGAATAGACCTATATGAGAGAGCTGAAACACTTCTAGAAGAAAAACAGAAGAAATTATTTGGGTTAAGATATCTTGCCTATGACACCAAAAGCATGATACATAAAAGAAAAAAATTGATAAATTAGAATTCATCAAAATTTAAAAATTTTGTTCATCAAAAGATGTCATTAAGGAAGATAAAAGACAAGCCCCAGACAGAAAAAATAATTTCAGATCATAAATATGATAAAGGCCTTGATTCTAGAAATATTTTTTAAAAACTCTTAAAACTCTGTGATAAAATGACAAACAACCCAATTAAAATAAACAAAAGATTTAAATAAACATTTCAGCGAAAAAGATACTGCGAATGGCTTACGAGCCCATGAAAGATGCTCAACACCATCAAGCATCAGGGACACGCTGAAGCAGCTCACAGGGGACGCCAGTCCGCCCCCCCCGGACTCCAACAGGACGAGGGCGGCGGGACAGCGCCGAGCTCTGGGGCGGAAACCGGGGCCTTCGTCGTTGCCGGCAGCGACGTGAAGGGGTGCACGCGCTGCGGAAAACAGTCTACGAGTTTTCAAAAACAGTTAAACATAAGCCTCCACGTTCATTCTCAGGTATGTACCCAAGAGAAACACGTGTTCACACAAAGGCTTGTATACAAACTGACTGGCAATATTGCTCATAATGGGCAAAAACAGGAAACAATCCACACGTTCATCATTCGGTGAATGGATTAGAAAGTGTCAGCTGCCCGGACAATGGGATACTATTCACAAAAAGGAATAAACTACTGATACAGGCAACAATGTGGATACACCAGACAGAAGACTGTACATTGTATGTATTTTCCGTTACTGTAACAAATTACCACAACCTTAGTGGCTTAAGACAACGCACATTTATTTTCTTACAGTTCTAGAAGCCAGAGACCCCGAGTGCGTCTTGCGTGGCTACAGTCAAGGTGCTAGGAGAGCCGATCCCTCGGGAGGCTCCAGGGGGCAGTCTGCTCTCCGTGGGGTCCAGCTGGGGAGGCGGCCGCAGTCCGCGGCCCAGGGTCCCTGCCTCCACCTTCAGAGCCGGCAGCGTGGCGGTTCCCGAACAGCAACTGGGGTCCGGCCGCGCCCGCGCCCGCGCCCGCCACGCTCTAGGTGAAATTCCAGGGCAGAGGCTTGGTGATCAAGGAGTCTTTAGTCAAAGCTTCACTATTTTGGAACAAGAGCGTTCCAATGCATTAGTCACTTGAGCCTCTCAATTAAGGATAAATGCTTTGCCTCTTCAGTCACAGCTTTAATCACTTAAAACCAGTAAGGCTCAACTTTTTTTTTTTTTTTTTTTTTGAAAGATTTGTATTTATTTTTAGAGGTTGGGAGAGAAACATCGATGTGTGGTGGCCTCTCAAGCGCCCCCTACTGGGGACCTGGCCCGCAGCCCAGGCTCGTGCCCGGACTGGGAACCGAACCCCGTTCCTTCGGTTTGCAGGCCGGCGCTCACTCCACGGAGCCGCACCAGCCAGGGCTGGTTGAACACCTGAGTTCTCCTAACACTCCCATTAGTTCTCATTATATTATTTCGACAGGGTTAGTTTACAAACTCAAACCACGTAAGGAACAAAAGCTACACCGTTCTGAGGGATGGCAGGCCTCTGCCTCGGAGCCCGTTCCCTCTAGGACCGCCGAAGAACAAGCCCGCCACCCCCGCCCGCCCCGCCCAGCCCGACTCTGACCCGAGGCTGCACCCAGAGTTCCTACTCCCGTCCGGAGCCCACCCGAACTACCCTCCGTGGGGAAGCGCAGGCAGCGGCCACAGGCCCCCCAGGCGTCCTCCGGGAAGACGCCCCAGAGCGGCGAGAGCCCCTCCTTTTATTTCAAACCTTCTCACCCATAATCCCATGCGCTCTGGAGGCTTTCAGTTTCTCCGCCAATCGTGTCCCAGGCCGTTTACCGTTGCCTCGGGCAACCTCCTCCTCCAGCCCCGCCCCACTTCTCCCCAGGGATCTGAGCGGCCCTCTCTTCGCCGGTACCTTTCGGTTTCCCTGCGGTGCTGCCGTCGCGCAGGCCTCCTCCACTCTGATCCTTCTGCCTCGCTCCGGAAAGGTCGGCACGGGCTGGGCCCACTGGGGTAACCCTGGATAATCTCCCCACCTCGAGGTCCTTCATTGCACGTGCAAGTCCCTGTTACCTCAGGTTAGGTAACACATATTCACAGGTCCCAGGGATTAAATGTGGACCCCTCTGGGGGTGACTATTCAGCCTCCTACCCCGCACAGTCCACTTACCTGGCAGTGCTGAGAAAAGGCAAAGTCGAGGCAGATCGCGGGTCAGCAGATCCCAGGACTGCCAGCGTGGGCAGGCGTCGGCCATGCACAGGCACAGAGGAACCTGGGGGTTCCTGCCATTGATTTTAAGGTGCACACTTTCCCCACAGCTTAACACCTGAAATCAGAATACATCTTACAACTGCTGGTATGCGTTATGCACACCATAATGCGTTATGAAAAAGTGCTCAACACCATTATCAGGGAAATTCAAATGAAAGCCACAATTAGATATCACTGCCCACCCATTGGACTGGCTAAAATTAAGAAGATTGGCAACACCAAATGTTGGCAAGGATGTGGAAGGAACAGAATTACATTGCTGTTGGTGGAAATAAAAAAAGATGTACGGATGCTTTAAGGAAGTCTGGCAGTTTCTTTAAAAAGCTAAATACATTCCTTTACGACTAGTGCTATGACTCGGCAATTCGGTTCCTAGGTATTCACCCAGGAGAGACAAAAACGCACCTCCAGAGTCCGTGCAGGAACCTTCACAGCAGTTCTGTTTCTCACAAATGAAACCTGGGCTGAGCCCCCACGTCCATTACAGGACAATGAAGAAACAAACGGCGGCCTATTCATGGCCTAGAAGAGTCCACACCAGGGAGCCAGGAAACACACCACGAAATGGAGCTCAAAAACATCACGTGAGTAAAAGAGGCCAGATTCGGAAGACTCCCTACTGCGTAGTTCCATTTTTATGAAGTTCTAGAACTGGGTGCTCTAAGGCGCAAAGAATCGGAATAGTGGGGCGTGGGTGGGGAGTGAGTGGAAGGAGGCACGAGGGAACTTCCCGGGGCGGTGCTGGGGTCCACCTCCTGCTGGTGCTTTGGGTCAGCAGCCGTGTCCAATAGTTCCGCCTGGCCAGGTGGCTCGGTCAGTCGGCGCGCCGTCCGCGTGCACCGAGGTTGCAGGCCAGATCCCCCGTCAGGGCACATAGGAGAAACGGACCAATGGATGCCTAAGTAAGTGTAACAGCAAATTGATGCTTCTCTCTCTCTCTCAAAATCGATAAACATTTAAAAAAAGACTCATGTATTTCAAATAGAGGAAAAAACAAGAAAAACAAAACACAGGTTCATGTATTTCACTGTTTTATCCCCTCAAAAAAGAAACAAACAAAACTAAAAAAAGCGCCAGTGAAGGTACACATACTGAAGTATTTAAGGGCGAGAGCATGGATATCTGCAACTCTCTTGGAAGTTAACTGGTTAATTTAAAATTAAGATAATTTGATGGATGGATGTAAGAAAGGACCGATGTAGATAAGGTATAAAACAGTTATGACAAAACATTTATTATTAATGTGGATTCTAGGTAGTAGGTGAATGGATGGTTCCTGTCCAGTTTATCTTTTCCACATGTTTGAACATTTCGTAATAGAGTCTTTTGAAAACACGTGGTTGCTCCTCGCTGTGTAAGCGGTAGCGGTTTCGCTACCTTGGTAATTTATAAAATAATGGTATCTGAAGTTCAGTGACATTTGGGCACTATAAAGAACAGTAGTTTTGTGGCTCCCCAAGTCAAGTCCCTCATTTCCCAGGCTCCCTTGCAGCTATGTTGGGACCATGTAACCAGCTTTGGTCCACGGGCTCTAAGTAGAAGTGGTGAATACACCGCGTGCAGACCGAGGCGCTTAACTGCTGGGAGGCCTCATTAATCGCTCTCCCGCTGCCCGTGACGGCGGGAAGCCCTGCTCAAGTGCAGCAGAGGCACCCGACTCTACCACGGCCACGAACGGGGGTTGTCACTGCAGCCTAGCCCAGCCCGCCTGACGCTGGAGGGTGCTGGGGGAGGGCTTTCGTTTAAAAAAACAAAAAACAAACTAAAAACTAAAATACGTGGCCTGTCAGTTAAGTTGCTGTCTCGGCTCTAAACTCGCCCTTTGCTCGGCGGTGACACCGGTGAGGCCACGCTTCTCCGGCGCGGAAGCGGCAGGGGCGGCTCGCAGCGGGTTTGCCGGCGGCGTCCCGGCTGGCTTCGGCGGTCGCGCCGGGGACTGCGAGCCAGGCGGCCCGACGGGGCACAGAAATACTCGCGGACGCGGCCCAGACGGCCCGAGGGCGGGCGTGGGCGCGGTTGCACGCACCGAGGGGCACGCCGTGCGAGACCAAGACGGCCCGCGGGCACGAGCGAACTCAGGCCTGTCCCCGCTCAGCAGGACCCGCGCCTGTGGGGGACCCCAGGACGCAGGCGCAGCGGAGACTGGCGGAATGGGAGGCCAGGAACGACGGAACCTGCTTCTGAGGGCAGCCGAGCAGGACCCACGCTCACCGCCGACCTTCTTTGAGCCTGACCCCCGCCTGACCCGACTCCCGGGGACCGGTCGGGCCCCGCCGGAAGTCCCGGCTCCGCGCTCTGGGCCGCTCTGGGCCGCTCTGGGTCGCTCTGGGCCGCTCTGGGCCGCGCGGGCGCTTCTCGCTGGTGGGATCCTCGCCTCTTAGTTGCACTGCGCTTCTCCGGCCGTCAGGGGCGGGCGAGACCATGGGAGGACCGCTCTAGTCCGCGGCGTCCGCTCGCTCGACTGCTACGCGGCGTGGAGCCTACGTGCGGCTAGGCCGCCTCCGCCTCCCGGCCGTTCCCCCAGCAACGCCTCCCGGCCGTTCCCTCGGCAACGCGCGGCGGGCCGCTGCAGTCTCAGCCATGGATGATGCGCGGTCGGGCGCCGGGCCCCGCCGGGCTCGCGACCGCCTCGGGGCGCCGTCCTCCGGGGCGCGGGCTGCGACGACGCCCTGGGCGCGCTTCTCGGCCTGGCTAGAGTGCGTGTGCGTGGTCACCTTCGACCTGGAGCTGGGCCAGGCGCTGGAGGTGAGCGGGGCGGGGGCGGGTGGTCGCGGGGCCGCTCGCCCTCTGCGCGTGGGGGGAAGTCGGGGAGACCCAGGGGTGGCCTGCCCCTCCTCCGGAGCTTTGCGCCTGTGCCCGCCTGAACGGGGCGCTCTCCAGCAAAGGAACCGAGGGCCGACTTCCCATGGGGGTGGAGGAAGTAGGGCTGTGCACTTTGGATACCCTTGACTTCGTCGAGAAAACTCTGCCTCGTTTCCCCCTTCCCCACGTCAGCTGCGGCACCTTGTCCCCTCCGTTGCTGCAGCCAGAATCCCAGGAGTCACCCTGGACTTTTCCCCTCCCCCCCCCCCCGCCCCGTCCACATCCCGTCCGTGGACAACGCTGACAGTTCCACCGGCCACAAGGATCTCAGATCATTCCCTCCGCTGCCCACGCCCTCCTTTGTCGCCGTCCTCCTCGAAACCTTCAGCACCTCTTGGTTCACTTAGACCCAGATCCAGACCCGTGTGGGTGCCATTCCAGCCATACTGGCCGACTTTCTCTTCATCAGTTGCCCCCAGCTCGGAGGCCTGGGGTGTTCCCACCCCCACCCCCACCCCACGGGCAGCTTCCCTCCCTCCGGGTGTAGATGACCATGTGGCAGGCTCGGGGAGGGAGATCTTCCGCAGGGCTCTCAGGGTGGTCGCTAGGACCCACACCATCCAGACCGCCGAGCTGACGGCTGCAGGGGCGGCGGGGTGGACCTGACCACACTGCCAGGGACCTCCTGAGAGCTGCCAGGGGCCGCGCAGGCTGGGGCTGCCCAGCCATCCCGGGTGGCCGATGGGGGTGAGGGACGTTTTGGTTTGAACTTCGCAAGCCCAAATCTTTGAGACAGAAAGGACTGATTGAATGAGGCAGTGCGCTCGCTCTGTGGGGACCCCAGCCACCACCCGCAACCCCACCAGGTGTGCATTATGGTGACGGCGCCACCTGGCGAAGGGGCCTGAGCACAGAGTGGTGAGCTGATTTGCCCCACGTCACAGAGCCTGCATTCTTACTGTTGCCCAAATTGTTCACCGTAAAATCACAAGCAAAGGCCCCAGCTGAGTAGCTCAGTTGGTTGGAGCATCGTCCTGACACGCCAAGGTTGCGGCCTCGATCCCCGGTCAGGGCACATACGTGTATCAACCAATGATGCGTGAATAGGTGGAACAGAATCAATGTCCCTCTCTCCCTTTCTCTCTCTAAAATCAATATATATCTATATTTTTTAATCACAAGAGAAGTTAAGAGATCCTTTTGTTTCCTTAAGGCACCCTCACGTATAATTTTCTAGAATGTAACCATTTGGAAAGCTAATTCTAAGCCTTCACGGCGCGGGCTCTGTGTGCGGGGGCTTCTGAGCCGTTGATGAGGCTGCACAGCCCAGAGAGGGGGAGTTGGGGACCCAGGGCCCCTCGGGACCCTCAGGTCTGTACGGAGACCCCGCCGTGGATCCGTCGGGCAGTGCGGCTCGCAGCGCTCCCCAGGCTTTCCTCGCCTTTCCTCCCTGCCCCCGAATTCCTGCGGAAGATCGGGGGTCACTTGGGCTGAGCCCACAGGCTTTCAGGAAGCACCTGCCCTGGGCTCACTTGCTCACAGCTCTGCCTGGCTGAGCGCTGCAAAGGCCCTGGCACCGTGCGTGGCGCTGGGACACAGATGGAAGGCCCAGGGACCGCCGTCCAGAAGCTGCATGAACAGAAGCAGCTCCGAGGAAGGAGAGAGGTGTGGCCAGTCTCGGAGGATGGGCAGGAGGCAGCTGGACTGTGGAGAGGGTGCCGTTTCGGGTAACCCCTGCCCACAGACAGGCCGCCAAGGCAAAGGCAAGGCGCTGCCACCGCCCCACACGCCAAGTCACGTGTGAGCAGGGGCCACCAGCCAGGCCCTGTGGCGCTGGTGCCGGACATGGGACACAGCGTGAACGAGAGGACAGCAGCCTGCTCTCCAGAAGTTCCTAGCCTGTGCCGGTGACCCCAAATGAGTGGTTCGGGACGCCCCATCGCCCTGTCATGCATGGGGGTCCCACACACGGCGCACGAAGCCTGCGGGCAGGCCAGCTGAGGAAGGGGCCTGGCCACCGCGGTGCTGATGGGGCTCCAGACCCTGTACAGCCTTCATGTTACTGAGGACCCCAAAGAGCTCTTTGTGGAGGTCACATCAGTCCGTGTTTAGTAGAAATTAACACAGAAAAATGTTTAATATTTATTAATCCATTATAAGAAATACGTTGTGTTACTATAGGTATTAATATTTTCATGAAAACAACCCTATTTTCCAAAATAAAATTTGGTGAGAAGAACAGCATCGTTTGACACTTTTACAAGCCTTTTGAGACCTGACCAGATAGAGAGCAGTCGCGCCCGCACATCCGCTCCTGCCGGTGTCCCCTGGAGCCACACCTTGTCCCTCCGCAGCCCGGCCCTCGCTCCTGCCCCTCTGGGCGGGCCCCCCGCCTTCCGCCCCTCGCTGCGGTGCCGTCCAGCCGGGTCCGCCTCCCCTCCGGCCTCTGCCCCCAGGACAGCGTGCACCGTCGCCTGAACGCGGGCCCCCACCTCTGTTCCGATGGGGTCCCTGGGCATGGACATGAGCCCGCAGGCGCAGGTGGCCTGCTCAGAGGCCACGTCCTCCCGGGGCCGTCAGACCAGATTCAGACTGTGGACCTTGGCGCAGAGGGTCCCCACGGCTTCACCGCCCGCCAGGCCCCCGCCTCTCCCAGCCCCTGCCGGACACGGGCACGGGGGCCCATCCCGAGTGGTCCTGTGGCCGCTCCCGCTTGTGGGGCCGTCCCAAGGCCTGCCGCCGTGGCAGCGCTGCCCCCTCCCTCGGGGGCCCTTCCTCCCTGGTGCCTCCTCAGCTGACAGCTCCTGGAGGCTTCCGCGCGACGCCCCGTTCTGTCCTACCTGGCGGACGCACTGTCACCCTGCGCAAGGACACACTTGGGGGCGCCTGCTCCCCAGCAGGAGCTGGGCACAAGAGTGAGTCTCAGGGCGGCAGGAGAGGACCACAGGCACACGCCCAGAGCAAACGCAGACAAGACATGACTTCATTGCCACAGCACGAGTTCCGGGGCGCAGTGCCTCACTGTGTGCGGGCGTGCCCCGCACGCCCCGAAGAAGCCTAGTTTCAGCCGAAACCTGACTCCCCCTCAGCACAAGATTTGGGCAGAGGCAACGAGCAGCTGGCTCGGGGTGCCGGCCCTGGGCGCCAGGCCCCCACGGGCTCCCAGCCCAGCCACCTCCTGGGAGGGGCATCTGGGGCGTCAATGCACAGGCCAGGGCAGCGTGGAGCCCAAGGCGCAGCAGCCCCCCAGTCTGGGCGAGTGGCCTCAAGGGCAAGGGGGGCAGAAAGGGAGGCGGGGAGCTCACCCAGGTGTGTGCCGGCCAAGGCAAGGGGTGTGGAGTGGCTTCGGGCTGGGAGGTTGGGGGAGCCCGGGGCGCCCAAGGCGGAGGAGGGCGGGAGGCTTGGAGCCCAGGAGGGGCGGAGAGGAACGCACCTGCAGGCCAGCCCGCAGCCGCCCGGCCCGGCCGTCACTGGGTGCTCCCTGTCCCCGCAGCTCGTGTACCCCAGTGACTTCCAGCTCACGGACAAGGAGGTGGGTCCCGGCCCCCGGGAGCAGACGCCGCCTGGGAGAAGCCAGCCCTCACTGAGTTTCCTGTGTTTCAGAAGAGCAGCATCTGCTACCTGTCCTTCCCGGACTCCCACTCAGGTGGGCCACTTGACTCTCCCCCGCTCTGCGGCAGGGCGGGGGCGGGGGGAGGGAGGGAGAAGTGGGGAGGCGGGGCCGTCCAGCAGCCCCTGTGATGCGGGCCGGGCGCATGGTGGCCTGTCGTCCCCACTGGCACTCTGTTGAGACTCCCAGAGCCCCCTGATGCCACAGAGGCAGCCGTGCTCCCCTTGTTTGTGTGGAAAGAGACCCGCAGGGTCCGGCCTCCTTCACCAGCACTGTGACCCCCCCCCCCGGGAGCTGGCTCTGCTCCTCCGGGGTCCCAGGTGCTGGGCAGGCCGCGCCCGCCGCCCGGCAGGCCCTGGCCCCCGCCCGGCGCGTGGGCACGGGGGCCGCCGCTGGTGCGGCAGCGTCGGGACTTCACTCTGAACTTCTCAGGCGCAGGAGTTAGGACACAGGGACTCCTACTGGGAGAGCCAGACCCAGCGAGCGGGGCTTTCTCGCTGGGGCCTCCGGGGCCATCAGAAGTCAGACCGCCAGGGCCCTTGCCTGGCCCTGCCGCCCCCACCCTCACACGGTGGCAGGAGGGCGCTCCAGCCCTGACCTGGAGTGGCGGGGGCCACCTTCCTTCCCAGGCTGCCTTGGGGACACGCAGTTCAGCTTCCGAATCCGTCGGTGTGGAGGGCAGCGGAGCCCCCGGCCCGCCGCCGACGGGCGCTACGACGGCGAAGCCCCTGTGGCACTGCAGGTGAGCGCGGGCTGGGCCCGGGCGGCAGGGGAGGCACTGGCCAGCCCCAGCCCCCGGGGGGCGGGCCAGCTCTTCAGGGACTCCCGGGTCCTGGCAGGCCCCTCCGCGCCTTGCCCGCGGCAGGGCCGGGCTTGGTGTGCAGAGGCCTGCACGGGCCCTTGGGGCTCCCGGCCGGGGCCGCGCCCCACGGTGCCCCCTCGGAGGTGATGCCCACCTGCTGAGCCCAGGACGCCACAACCACCCGCACCTGGGGGCGCGGGGCGCAGCCTCCGCAGGCGGGCAGTCGGGGAGGCAGGAGGCGCGTGGAGAGGGGTGCAGCCTGGCTGACCGCGTCTTCCAGAGGGAGTCGGCACACTACTTTGGCTACGTGTACTTCAGGCAGGTGAAGGACAGCTCCGTGAAGAGGGGCTACTTCCAGAAGGTGAGCCCCCTGGCCCTCTGGGGTGGCATCGCTGCGAGGAGGGGCCGGGGTCCTGAGCCTCCAGGAGTCCCCCTCCTGCAGCCACGCGGGGCCAGGTGAGCGCGCCACCTGGGCCACGGGGGCCGCCCGACCTGGGGGGCGGGCCGGGGTGGGGAGCCCCTCTGGGCGGCTGGCCCCGTGGCCCTCGTGTCTGGGGCCCCGGCCTCCCAGCTTCTCCTGCTGCCGGGGGGCCTGGTTACTGCTTCAGCCTCGAGCTCAGGCATCGAAGCAAAGGCTGCTCGACCGCTGGGAGGGCGTCCCAGACGTCCTGGCCGCGGGCGTTTCCCTCTGGGTGTCCAGGGGCCCCTCCCCGTCTGGGGCCCTGAGGGCTGCGTGGGGCCCTCCTGGGCACGGCGGTCCTGCGGAGTCAGTGGGTTTGGCTGAGCCGGGCCTCCGGGGTCCCTGCGGGCTCCTGAGGGCGGGGCGACATCTCACCGGCCCCCCGGGCCCTGCAGTCTCTGGTGCTGGTGTCCCGCCTGCCCTTCGTCCGGCTGTTCCAGGCGCTGCTGAGCCTGATCGGCCCCGAGTACTTTGACAAGCTGGCGCCCTGCCTGGAGGCAGGTGAGGGGCCGCCAGGTGCGGCCGGGGGGTCCCTGTCGTCATCTGTGGAGCCCAGTGGCTTTGGCAGGCAGGCCCCCGACACCCACCGCCTGCGCCCACAGTGTGTGACGAGATTGACCAGTGGCCGGCCCCCGTGCCTGGGCAGACCCTGAACCTCCCTGTCGTGGGAGTCGTCCTGCAGGTGAGGCTGGCGCCCGGGCAGGCGGGCAGGCTCCAGGGGTGCGGCGGCGCCCACTCCTGGCTGGCAGATGCCCCCTCCGCCCCCAGGTGCACATCCCGTCCCGGGCAGACAGGCCTGAATCCAGTCCTCTGAAGCAGTGCGGCCAAGAGGTGGGGGCCCCTCCCGGGCCAGTGGCACTGCCCTGGCACCCACCCTCCCACCAGCCTGGGCCTCCCTGCCCTGCCTGCGGGGGGCCCTGGGGGGCGGCCAGGCACCAGGCGGAGCCGGGGCGTGCGTCTGGGCGCAGGGCAGCGGTGGCCCCTCCTGCGCTGTGGGGGTGGGAACGGGGAGGTGTGTGGGCAGGGGCTGCCTCCCCAGGGCCCTCCTGGGGTGAGGGCGCTGCTTGGGGTTCTTAGGGCGGCAGCCTCGCCCCCAGTCTGATGCCACCCCTTCTCCTCGCAGAACCCGCTGCCGGCGCCGCTGGTCCTCGCCAGCGTCCACGAGCTGGACCTGCTCAGGTGAGCCTGCAGGCCCCGCTGGCTGCCTAGTTGGGCCCCGAGCAAGCTCACATGGCTCAGGCCTGGGCAGGGCAGGGGTGCCGAGGCCGCCGCCCCTGGAATCAGCCCTGGGCCAGCACTGCCATGGAAGCAGATGGGAGAGGGGCCCGGAGCCTGGGGCCTGCATCCAGAGCAAGCGGCACCGTGGGCAGGGAGGTTCCAGCAGGCGGGCGGGGCAGGGGAGCGCTCTGCTCGGGGGCACACGCTGCCTGGGGCTGCCTTGCGCTGCTGCGTGCCCGCTGAGGGAGCCCACCTGCCGCTCCGGGCCCGCAGGAGCCAGGCCTGCGGCCTCAGGGTGGCGCACGGGGCCAGGGCGGCCCTGCGCACCCTCCGCACGTCCAGCCCCTGTTCTCACGGGGCGGGGCGCTCGCCTGCGCGCCGGGAGGCCCGTGCCCAGCCTCTCCCCGAACTCCCCAACCCCGCGCCAGGTGCTTGCAGCCTGTGCTCACCCACGTGCAGACGCTGTGGGAGCTCATGCTCCTCGGGGAGCCCCTGGTGGTGCTGGCACCCTCGCCCGCCGTGTCCTCGGAGATGGTGCTGGCCCTGATCAGGTAGGCCGGTGTGGGCAGGGCATTACCGGGTGGACGGGGAGGGGGCGCGGCCCGCTGAGCTCACCGGCCTGCTGCGCCCGCCCCGCCCCCGCAGCTGCCTGCAGCCCCTCCGGTTCTGCTGCGACTATCGCCCCTACTTCACCATCCACGACAGCGAGTTCAAGGAGTTCACCACACGCACGCAGGCCCCGTAAGTGCCGCGGCCTCTGCCCCTCGGCCACGGGCTGCCGGCGGAGCCACCACGCCTCTTCTCTCTCTCCCCTCTAGACCCAACGTGGTCCTGGGGGTCACAAACCCTTTCTTTATCAAAACGCTTCAGCACTGGCCGCACATCCTCCGCGTGGGGGAGCCCAAGCTGTCCGGTGAGGCGGCCGGGCCCCTGCCCCGGGGTCCTGGGGAGGCAGGCGGGCCCCGGGTCTGAGCCTGTGGGCACTGAGGCTGACGGCCAGTGTCTCCTGTCCGCAGGGGGTCTTCCTAAACAAGTCAAGCTGAAAAAGCCCTCGAGGCTGAAGACCCTGGACACCAAACCAGGTGTGTGCCCCTCCTCCCCTTGGCCGGAGCCCCTCTAGGGCCCAGGCGTGGGCTCTGCATCCTGGCGGTGGGGGAGGTGGGACCCAAATGGGGGCGAGGCCGGGGTCATGGGGTCGGCCCCCCAGGACCGGGCGCCGGCTCCCACCAGGCCTCTACACGGCGTACACTGCACACCTGCGCCGCGACAAGGCCCTGCTCAAGCGGCTGCTCAGGGGCCTGCAGAAGACACGGCCGGCAGGGGCGCTGAGCGCGCTGCTGAGGCGGCACCTCCTGGAGCTCACGCAGAGCTTCATCATCCCGCTGGTGAGGCCCGGGCGGGGGCGCTGGGCCCGGGGCCCGGGCTGCCGCCCCGGGCTCACTCCCTCCCCGCCTGCAGGAGCACTACATGGCCAGCCTCATGCCCCTGCGGAAGAGCATCACGCCCTGGAAGGTGGGGTCCGGGCGCGGGCGGCAGTGGGGGCGGGCGCCCGCCTGGGTCTGCGGAGGGAAGTCGGGGCGGGGGGGACAGGGTCGCCGGCCATCCCCACACCGATCAGAGCTCCGTACGGGACAGAGGTGCGGGGCCGCGCAGCGGGGCTCGAGGCCCCCTCTCTGGGACCTGTCCCCCGCAGGGTGGCGGCCCCGGAGCGTGCCTGGGAGGCGGTGGCTGCCTGGGCACCAAGGCTCACCTGGCCCCTGTCTCAGACCCCGCCCCAGATCCGCCCCTTCCACCAGGATGACTTCCTGTGCAGCCTGGAGCGTGCTGGGCCCCAGCTCACCTGCATCCTCAAGGGGGACTGGTTGGGCCTCTACAGGTGGGTGGGCGCCGAGAAGGGCCGCCCGAGGCTCCTGCTGCTGCGGTGCAGGGTGCCCACGCCCACGGAGTCCCCCACAGCCACTGCCTGTCATCGTCCACAGGCGGTTTTTCAAGTCCCCCCACTTTGATGGCTGGTACCGGCAGCGGCGCAAAGAGATGGCCCGTAAACTGGAGGCCCTGCACCTGGAGGCCATTTGCGAGGCGGTAGGTGGGGCTGGGGCTGGGGCGGGGGGCGGGCGAGGGGCCCTGGGGCTGTCGAGCGTCCACCGTCTTGTCCGGGCAGAACGTCGAGACCTGGACGCAGGGCAAGTCCGAGGTGGAGGTCGTGGACCTGGTCCTGAAGCTGCGGGAGAAGCTGGTGAGACGCCTCCCGTCCGCCCTGCCCAGCCGGGCCAGGTGGCCACGGAGGCCACCTGCCCCTGACCAACCTGCCCCTGACCGTCCTGCCCCTGCAGGTGCGGGCACAGGGCCACCAGCTCCCTGTGAAGGAGGAGACGCTGCAGCGGGCCCGGCGGTACATCGAGACGGTCATCGGCTCCCTGCCCAAGGACCTGCAGGCTGTCCTCGGCCCTCCCTAGGACCGGGTCGAAGCGGCCTCTGTGCCCCTGGGGGCCTGGGACTGGCTGAGCTTCCTTCCCCCCAGTGAGGGGCGGCCCCAGCCCGGCATGAGCGCCCCCACCCGGGCTCCCCGCGGCTCCCTGGTCGTGGCCCCTGCCCAGCGCCGCTTCGTCCCAGCAGTAAAGGCGGCGTCTGGAACCACAGCCGAGCCCCTGACTCTGACGGATCCTGGGCTGCCCCGAGCCGAGCCTCCCCCTGAGCCCCACCTGTCCTCCGCGGGGCTGCCGGCTGGGGGGGCGGAGCTGGCGCGCTGCTCTGGGCCTGGGGCCACCGCCCCCGCCAGGCACCCATCTGCCCAAGCCCTGCAGGGCCCCAGGAGTTGCATTTGATGTGTCCTTGAGCCCCACTGGGCGCCCAGCTCAGAAGAGAGAGCAGCTGACAGGCAGACTGCACTACGCACTCAGCCCCCACGGTCTCTCCTGCGGCTGGCGGTGCGCACTGGCCGCCTCAGCTCAGAGGCTAGAGGAGCTTGGCCACCTGGTTCCTGGGGAGGCCACCAGGGGGCAGTGTGGGGTGCAGGGCATTGTCCCAGGTCGCAGGGCGCACCCACCGGGCACCATCTCTGTTCCAACTGCCCCAGTGGCACTCGAGCTCGCCCCGCCCCCCAGCCAGGGTCCCCCCCAGCCGCAGCAGCCCCGGGCGTGGGGCTCTCCGAGGCAGCACGCTCGCTAGCTAGGCCCAGGGCCGCCGCCAGCGCTGTCAGGGCTCAGCACAGGGCGACAGCCGTGTCAGCCAGCGGACGGGCGGGTGTGGGGCACGGGCCTCCCCCGTCAGGCCCCTCGCCTGGGGCTCGCTCGGCCACCGGCTGGAGCCGGGCCTGGCAGAGGGAACAGGTGCAGGCCAGGGGGTGTTCCCGTCCCTTTGGAAGCCCCGCTCAGCCCACGCCCCTGGGCCAGCGCCCCGCCACCTCCGCTCCCGAGCCACGCGGTCTCAGCGCCTCCTGTGCCAGCTTGCGGGCTCCGCCCACAGCCCGGGACAGCCTGCCCGCGTCCCCACTCACAGAACAGAGTAGAGCCCGGCCGAGGCAGCAAACCCATTTTTGCAGAAGGAACAAGCTGGAGGCCCCGGGGCGGGAGCGGTTCTGCCTTGTCCCCAGTGCCACTCTGCGCAGCCCACCCCAGCCATCCGGCCCACAGGGGAGGCCTTCCCACCGGGGCACAGCCTCCACGGGGGTGCACGGGCACCAGAACCTTCCTTAGGACTGGCGGGTCCTCTGACCTCCAGGGGGAGGCCCTGGTGAGGGCACGAAGAGGCCCTACCGTTAGCGCCTTTGCTTGGCCTTGTCCCGAGCCTAGTCCTCGCCCCTCGCCCCTCACCCTAACTCCGCTGGCTGCAGGCAGCGCCGGGCCTGGGCCTGGGCCCCCTCACTATAACCCCACGGGCGCAGGGGGCTCCTGAGGAGCGAGGAGAGGTGGATGCCAGGCCTGCAGCCCGCAGGGCCCGGGGGAAGGTGGGCCTGCAGACGCAGGAGCCGCTGGCCCGCGAGGGTGCGCACTGGGCCCACTGCGGCCTCACGGGCCATGGAGGGCCTGGTACAGTGGCCTGGGTGGGGGTGGGGAGGAGATGCGCTGGCAGCCCCAGGGACAGGAAGGACAGTTCGCCCCCGAGCTTCCTGCGCTCTATTTAAAGATTTCTGTAGTCTGGGATGCTGGCCTTCCCACATTTTTATTAAAATGTCCCGTAACCACATTTTAAGGCAATGCTTGTATCTTAACTTCCTCTTTTTGATAAGTTGGCATCTCTGGCAGACAGTGGTAATGTGGGGGCCCTGTGGTGGGTGCCGGGTGGGCGGGTGTGGATGAGGCTCAGGGCTGAGGGGTGAAGGTCTGGCCGGGCCTGGCTGGGGGGAGGGCAGCCGAGACACTGAAGGGAGTGGCACTCTCCTGCCCTAAGCGCCCTGTGGGGGGGGGGGGCAGATGGGGCGGGCGGGGATGTGGGAGCACACAGGGAGGGGACCCCCGAGGGTGCTGAACGGCCAAGGACAGGCCGAGTAGGGGTGGGGGCAGGCCCCGGCGGGGGTGGGGGGGGCGCACGGCGCATCCAGTGTGGGATCCGAGTTAGGGCTTGGGGAAACTGCCAGTCTGCCCTGGGTCCCCGACTGCTGCCACCCCGGCCTGTTCTGTCCTGGAGGACACCCGTGAGGAGCCACGGGAGCGCACAGGGTCCCCGCCTCTTCTCAAGGCCTGGAGGCCCCAGGCCAGAAGCAAGGCACACGCAAGTGTAAAGCCGGCAGCCCCGGGGACTCACCACCTTCCGGCGGCACAGAAAGACCCGCTGGTGGGGCCCGGGGCGTCCCCGGAGGCCCTCGGGGGCAGGCAGTTGAGAGATTCGCAGGCGCCGCCTTCCCGAGGAGCTTGGGGCGCTGAGGCTCCCAGGAACCGTTGAGGCCCGGCAGCCTCCATCCCCGGAAAAGGCAGGGGTGTGGCTGGCCGACTCCCAGGCGGAGGGCTCGGGTGCTCGGAGGGAACCGCGAGGGCACCGGGTCCCCGCCTGGCCCGGCGCACTTCCCCAGCGCTTCAGCCTGGGCTCCCCTGTGACCTGGGGCGCTTAGGCCGACGGGCGTTCGCTGCCTGACGCGAACCTGGGCCCGAACCGGGCCGAACCTGCCCGGTGCTGCGACTCCCCACTGGGGTCCGGGGCGCGAGGGGCGCGCGGGGAGCCACCAGCCCACCCCTCCTTTCCCCGTCCTCGCCCCTCCCTTCCCCGGCTGGGGGCGGGGCCGCTGCTCCCGCGCGCTGCGGCCCCTCCTCGGCCACACAAAGGCCCGTCTCCATGGCAGCCGCGCGGGCCGGAGCGCAGCGCCGATCGCGGCCCGGGCGCCATCGAGCCTTGGCGGAGGACGTGCAGGTACCGAGATCGGGGTTCAGGGCTCGCAGGGCGGCCGCGCTGGTCCGGGGGCTCCGCCATTCGTGCCGCTCCGCCCCAGCCTGCTGTGCTCGGGGCGCGGGCGCGCGGGGCAGCTGCTACGCCGCCTGGGGTGACTCGGGCCTTGGCCCCGTCTGTGCGCCCTTCCGGCTGGGACGGGCCGCTCCCGACCCACGGTCTTCCAGGTGGCGGGCGAGGGCGCGGTGCCAGGGGAGAGGGCCTGGCTCAGCCGAGGGTCCCCAGGGACCGCTCCCGCCGCCGGGGTCGCTCTGGAGCCTCTTGCTCCCGTTCTGATTCCCAAGTCTCCCTCACCCTCCCGGCCCACGCCCTCCCGTCTCCGGCTACCGAGATCCGAGATCCGAGCCCGGGGCAGAGGTCGGCCCTGTCGCGCCAGAGTTCCCGCGCCCATCCACCCAGCCGCGGGTGCAGGGTGGCCAAGCCCGGCTTCTCCCAGCGGCCGGACCTGTGGGCAGGCCTGGGCCGGCACCCCCCCTCCGCGCCCCCACCCCGCCGCCCGCCCCCTGGGACTCCTTCGGAGGAGGGTCTGGGCTGGGCCTGCCCAGGCTGGAAGGCGGCGCGGGGTTCTGGGTTGGGACGAGGGGCGCCCCAGCCTGGGCCTGCTCCTTCCCGGGGCCTGGCTGGACAGTTCCTGTTGCGGTTTGTTGGTTGGGTGCTTTGGTGGGCCGCCTGCGCCTCAGGGAGTCTCAGAACTGGGCAGCGCCCAGGCCCTGCCCCTTCTCTGCGCCTCCTCTTGAAGGAAGCCCTGTTGGGTAGGCCCTTCCCGCCCCTCGGGGCCCAGGCCGCTTGGCCGATTTTGGGGGAGAGGGTCCTCTCTGCTCGAGAGCCCCTGAGCTTCCTGCTGTGGCAGAGCACTGCCCTTCCCAGCAGCTGGGGAAGGAGTGAAGGGGTCCCTCTGTGCCCACCGTGGCCCGTGGTGGGGTTCAGGACTGGGGGTGAGGCTGGGCCTCAAGGCTGGCGGAACGTTCTGGGGGGCTTGAGGGGCTCTCTGGGGAGGTCGCCTTTCGTGTGTAGCCGCAGCCCCTGCGCTCCCAGAGGTGGGAGGGTCTCAGCCCGCCCTGTGCCCAGAGGCTGCCCTAGCTTGGCAGAGGAGCCATCGCTCCGTCTGAGAGCTGGACGGAGAGTGGGAGGGTCCGCGGGAGGGCAGGGTCAGCACGGGCCCGGCCCGGCCTGGCGGGTGTTTTTGCGGTGTGACAGCTCTGAGGAATTCCCAGAGAAGACGGAGCGCGAGCAGGTGGGCTGAGCCGCTCTGAGCCTCCCGCTGCCTCCCGCACTTACTGGGGGCCCAGGCTGGGGCGGGGGGGGCGCGCCTGAGGGCAGACCAGGGGCTCCGCGCCCCAGAAGGGGAGGGAAGTTACTGAGAAAAACAGGGTTTGGAATTCGAGTCACCCTCCCCCACCGGCCGCCTGCCAAGAAGGAATTATTTTGGATTATCCAGCCGTGTCCAGCCACCCAAGGGGGGAGGCTGCAGCCCGGGAGAGAGGGATCCACTTCCGGGGCCGTGGGTTGAGAGCCCCAGGAGGAAGAGGCGGCGAGTCTGGGCAGCTCCCCTTCCCCCCAGGCTGCTCAGAGGCTGCTCAGACCGGTCGGGGGCGGGGCGGGGCGGGAGGGGATGCGTCACCCTGGGGTTGGAGAACGCCCAAGGGTGGCCCCAGCAGGCCCCGTGGAGCCAGTCGGGGGGAGACTAGAGGGCCGGGGGGCCCCGGGTCCTATCCAGGGGGCCAGCGGGAGGACCCCCTCTGTCCACAGAGGCCCCGGAACCGCGGCCTTGAGCTGGACTCAGGGACACACCTGTGTTGGTCACTCACGCCCTGTTCTTCCCTGAGACGGCAGGGAGCAGGTAGGGGTGTGACTGAGGCCGCCTGGGCCGGGGCACCGGGGTCTCTTCTGGACGGAGGCTCAGGCCACCCACCTGTGCCCTGCCCGGCCCGTTGACCAGCAGCGAACACGTACGGATGGCCTCCCTCCCAGTGGCTCTCGCTCCCACGTGCGGCCCGACCTGGGCCGGGGCCCGTCGGCTGCCCCGCAGCTGAGGGCGCAGAGGCCATGGACAGGCTCAGCCGGGCGGGCTCCCTGG